ACTAATTATACTTTTATATTGGACTTGCCAGAGTTTATGCTCTTTTATTTTTCTCAGTAGAAGTTGCCTTCCAATATGTATTTTTGCCTCTAATCACCTCTAACTCTGTTTAGCCATGGTGGCATTTTTTTGGTCCCCTTAATATTTTTAATTTGGGATATACATTTAATTTGAGCCTCTATAATGGTGTTTTTAAAATGTTTCCATGTAGCTTGAAGACATTTCCCGCATGACTGTTCCTTTTAATTTCAATTTAACTAGCTTCCTCATTTTTGTATATTTCCCCTTTTTCAAGTTAAATACTACTGTGGAGGGCTTCTTTGGTCCTCCCCCTCCCAAGAATGTTAAAATTAATTGTATTATGGTCACTATTACTGAGCGGTGCAGCTATATGCACCTCTTGGACCAGCTCCTGTGTGCCACTTAGGACTAAATCAAGAATTGTCTCTCACCTTGTGGGTTCCAAGACTAGGTGCTCCAAGAAGCAGTCATTAATGGTGTCTAGAAATTTTATCTCTACATCTGATCCTGAGGTACCCAGTCAATATGGGGATAGTTGAAATCTCCCATTATTACTGAGTTTTCTATTTTTATAGCCTCCCTAATCTTCCCGAGCATTTTAAAACCACCATCATCCTCGTCAGATGGTTGGTAGTATATTCCTACTGCTATGCTCTTATTATTCAAACATGGAATATCTATCCATCGAGATTCTATGGTACAGTTTGATTCATTTAAGATTTTTACTACATTTAACTCTATACTTTCTCTCACAGATAGAATAAGTCTTGCTGGTGAAGGAGTGGCTCTGTCATGCCTATATTTTTTGTACACTGATATTACCATGATTAAACATTGTTCCACCAAATTTCTGTGATGTCTCTCAATATCTTCATTTAATACCCGACACTCAAATTCACCCATCTTAATATTTAGACTTCTAGCATTTGTATACAGGCATTTATGAAATTTATCATCAACATTTAGTTGTCTGCTTTCATGTGATGTAATTGAATGGGACTCTCTTTCATTGGACTGTTTATCTTCAATTTCTACTGTACTTTATCAAATTCTATCTTCTCTTCTTTGCTAGAATATAGAAAACCCCCTTTATAGATCCTCCCCTCAGGGATGTGTCTGTCTGAACCATGTGCTCTTCCGCACCTGTTGGCTTACCCCTAGCCCTTAGTTTAAAAACTCCTCTACAACCTTTTTAATTTTACATGCCAGCAATCTAGTTACATTTTGAAATAGGTGGCGCCCATCCTTCCTTTATAGCCAAGGTCCCTAAAGTCTGGATCATAGAATTATAGCAGATTAGGGTTGGAAGAGACCTCAGGAGGTCACCTAGTCCAACCCCCTGCTTAAAGCAGGACCAACACCAACTAAATCATCCCAGCCAGGGCTTTGTCAAGCGGGCCTTAAAAACCTCCAAGGATGAAGATTCCACCATCTCCCTAGGTAACCCATTCCAGTGCTTCACCACCCTCCTAGTGAAACAGTGTTCCTAATATCGAACCTAGGCCTCAACTTGTATCTTATAAATGATGCAGCAATATTATCCCCCGCTACTTCCAGGATCAGAATGGAAGTCCTTTTTAGATCAAGTTCTGTTTTGAGTCCACCACATTGATGCAATGTCAGGCCAATTTGATCTCAAGTAGTCTGCTGCGAAGAGCAGTAGAAAGATAGAAGAGTCATGTATAATTTAACATGCAATCACTCGTTTCTTATTATATCCATCACTTGTGCTAACCTGCTTCTCCTCTCTCAAGAAAGCTATCAGAAGAGCTATCTGGTATTATATATTTTTGTTTACATTACCTCTACTTTGGTCAGTATACACTTTTTCACAATGCTTAATAAAGTAGCAGGACTTTGTAGCACAAACTCATTAGGAAACACATTTATTGATTTAGGTGAAAGGCAAAATGACACAGGAAGTACTGAAGTGTATCCCCAGTATTGGTAAGGAATAATTGACAATAGCCCTTGAAGGGATAACTCAGTAACAAGGTTAAAGGATTGTGCAGACAGCCTTTTTTTAAAAACAAAATTCTTAGTACAGTCATGCGGCAGTGGTGGAAAAGATTAAGCAGCTTCCTTTTATAGTGGGTGAAGTTATTGTTCTTAAATCAGGAAATCAAAAGCTCCTTATGAGAAAAACAAACTGCAGTTTTAAAGTTTGATTTTGTAAATTTTTTGAGAGGTGGGTTGAGCACAAGGATGAGGGGAGGAAGGATACTATAACCTCTCAAAATCATAACAAAACTTATCTGCAGAAATATCTTGTTTTTAAACCACTCTAGCTTGCCTGAGACAAAACACAGCCCTTACATATAAAGAAGGCTGAACATACCTCAGTTTTAATGCTTGCAACAAAATGGAGTTATAAGAAAGTGACTTTAAAAAAAAAAAAACCACGAAGCAGATTTTACTTTTAAAGAAAGTATTATCCAAAAATAACATTTAAGGATAAGAAGTCGTCAAACTGATGTGCAAGTGCAATGTTACGGAAACTAGGGCTCAGAGTACAAGCTATTTACATCACTTAAAATAATAAATCAAACCACCTCCAGAATCATTAACCTGTTTTCAACAACCATACCTGCTATGCTTTACAGACCATTTCACATCAATTTTAAAGCTAGACAACCTATGGAATTTAAATCAGCACTTGGGCTCTTCACAAGGAAAAAATGTATTTAACACCATCTCATCCTCTTACAATCCAACCTATAATAGGAAAACTATGGATTATTAAAATGAAATATTCGTAGTAACCCAATGTATATCAAAATACTGAAAAAACTGAGGCTGTTGAGCATTTTCATTTTCAAACAAAAAAGGACAGGACCATAATTTGGGTATGTGTAGCAAATCCCCTGATAAAGCACTTGTATAGGTCCTGCCTTCACTATATTTATAAGCAGGTTGCAATTCACCTGTTCAAGTAGGAGTGTTACACACATGGTAAGAACAGTGAGAACCCTGAAGACCATGAGTGTAATCCTGTAACCACTGTAACCAAGGGGGTTTGCTACTGATTTCAATGGGGCCAAGATTTCATCCTAAGGTCCACTGTTCTGCTAAGGATCAGAGCGGTCTCTCATCCACATGGCAATGCTAGAACATATTTTAACCAATTCCTGTGACACAGCAGAATTTACACTGTGGTTAGGATCACAGTGATATGGCATGGAAGTCCTGAATTGTTTTAATGGACTATCCATTCTCAGATTTTCAACTAGTGTTTTTCTTAACTTCCACTCTTACTAACCCCCGTGCAGTTCCACCAGCAATAATGCTAGCATGGAAAGGCACCTGAGTGTTTTTAACCAAGATGTCTTTTAACCATGGTCACAGCAAGTCTAGACGACACTGGTGGTTAAACACCATGCCAGTGCTCCCACAGTTCTTCCCACATGGTGCAATGGTGTAATATTTTTCTTAAAAGTTTCCCTGTCACTAGGTCTCATACTAAAACTTCACTCTGCATCTACTTATGCTTCACTCCGGTATATGCAATTTCTTCTGATCTAATATTTTTGGAATGCAGTGACTTTAACAGATAGGTTATGCTGCTTTCCTTAGAAATGTTACTTCCCCTTGCTCCTCTGTCCAGTCGAGCAAAGAAGTCTCCATTGTCTCATGAGAAAGAAAGGAACCAAAGTGACTGCAACTACTCTTAACATGGAACGAAGAGCTGATCTTCCAGACACAAGCATGCACACCACAACGGCCAGCACAACCAGTGGCCATTGGAACTCTGGGGCGGGAGAAGAGATGGAGGGAGAGAGGGCTGAGTAAAGAGAGGGGAGGATCTGCCTAGTCCACCTGCTTCTTTTGCAGTGACACACTGCTTTTAATGAGTGAAAGGGCAGCAGGGGTGGGGGATGGCAGGCCATCTGAAATTAGGGAAGACATTAATAGTCTAAAATCGTCTAGTTCATTTTAGTAAAGTGATAACTAAGGGGGGATATGATAGATGTCTCTAAAATTATCAACAGTGTGAGGGGGAAAAAAGTGTTATTTACTGCTTCATATAAAACAAGAAGCAGGGGTCATTCAATGAAATTAATAGGCAGCAGCTTTAAAACAAAGTAGTACTTCTTCACACAACGCACAGTCAACCCGTGGAACTTGATGCCAGGGGATGTCACAATGGCCAAAAACAAAACTGGGATCAAAAGAGATTTAGATAAGTTCATGGAGGATAGGGCCATTACTGGATATTAGCCAAGATGGTCAGGGACCCAATCCCAAGTCTGACTGCCAAAAGCTGTAACTGAATGACAGGGGATGGACCACTTGATAAATTGACCTGTTCTCGTCACTCCCTCTGAAGCATCTGGCACCAGTCACTATGGGAAGACAGGCTTCTGAACTAAATGGGCCATTGGTCTGATCCAGTATGGCCTTTCTTCTGTTCTTATTACAAAATATATTTTAGCAATTCTGGCACAAGCCTAATGGATTTATTCATAAGACTAGACTTGGGTTGCTGTTAATGTTTTGTTTTCTTTTAAATGAAACATCCAGATGGTAACTATATCGTTAAGAGCAATTCTATTCAGGTTATTGCTTATATAGTCCCCTTTCTCTAAGGCCAGTTCTTTAATTGCACTTTTTATGGGGTAATCAGAAACAATACCAGCCTCATCAATAAAACAGACTTTCTGCAACTTAAGTTAATGCAGGAGAACAAGATGACTCTGCGGCCTGAAATGCAGCCAGACACCTTGTAAGGTGTAGGTAATGCTCATCAAATATCCTCCGAGTTCTCATTGAAAAGGGAAATAGATGGCTCATAATATACCCAAAAGCTAAAAGTGTTCGAAAGAATATCAGTGAGCAGTGCTCACACAGATTTCAAGAGCTATTGTTAGGCACTTGATTAGAATTTAGCTTCACTTGGTAATGACTTGAAATGGAGAGATCAGCTGGTAGGGAAGAGAGAAGAAAGCTCTTCCTGCAAAGCTTCAGAGAAAAACTAGTGTCTCCTCTCAAACATATTATACAGGTAGGTAAACTAGGGAAGTCAAAACATCAACAATAATCATCAGTGTTAAATGTAAGATGGTCTGACCTACCAGATTGTGAAGAGTTCCTGTTACATTAGTGGCATACTTCTGAGTTTTCAATACATCTCCATAATCAGCAGCATCAAAGTTAGTTTTCCATACCATCACCTGCAGAATAAAAACCAGCTGGCTAAAATTAATCCTTTTAAAAACCTCAATTTGCATATATATTCATTCATTTTGCTGGCAGTCTGGAAAAGTGTCAGCACACCCAGGGTTCTGAGAGGAAAGCTTTGTCAGCAAAGAGCAATATAATAGGCGTTGGCAAAATCAGAAAGATGTTATTCAATAGAGAAGTTATATAGTCTATATATTGTCTATATAAACATTTAGTTTGCTGCAAGCTGGGGCGTGAATCTATTCCACAACTAGTCTGTCATGGACTAACCTGTCTGTATGGATCCTACTGATGCGCATTAACGATATGCTTTAATAGATTAATGTGCTTTAATCTACTCCTCTCTGAAATGGGACTAGATCAAAGCGTGCTAACGTGCATCAGCAACGTCCACATGTTCAGTCAGTCCACAAAGTAGAGTCACATCCCAGCAAACTGCAAAATTGTTTGTGTGGACAAGCCCATAGTTTGAGTTCTCAAAGATAATGGCCTTTTCTGACCTCCCTAGACTGCTACCTAGGTAATACCAAAAAATGTTTGAATACTACTAAGAAATCCACTGAGAAGCTATATTTTACATTATACTAATCTTCAGGAATGGACCTGACTACCAGTACTTATTTTTTTACCTATGGATTAGCACTCAGGAGAAGAGGGCTTGGTTGGCAAAGTAAAATGAGACCTATGGAAACATACTATCTACCAAAAATGAACCCTAACAACAAGCAACTTCTCTCCATAATAAATTACATATCCACCATAAGTACTTTTGGAGAGTGCCAAGACAAAAAATCTGGCTTCTCTTCATAAACTGACCATTGGAACATATGAAAATGAACAGGGAGGAGGGAAGGGAATTCCTTAAGACCATGAATTCCCATTTAAGTTGGTAAGTGTTTAAAATATTTTAAGCTAGTCAACAAATAAAAGGACATTTAAATATTTGTAGGATTTAACATTGGTGGAGTAAAAAACGGTTTACAGTTTTATTTCCATGTTTTTAGACATATTAATCGTATTTCACATTATACTTCCATAGTTACAGAAACTTACTGTGCAATTGAGAAACAGTAGCCAAAATAGAAAGACACCTTTGTGTATAACCTAAAGCCCCCAAAAGACTTATACCCAGGCTTAATTTTACACACAGAATAACTCAGTGCATAAAGTCAAGCATGTGTATAAAACTTTGCAGGATCAGGCTATAGGCATTATGATTTAACTTCCATAAATAGCCTTATAATTCTAATCTTAGAGGAAATTTTTACTGAACACATTCATAATAGAAGTGTGCAGGAGACTTTAAATATACACACAGTTTAAGAGTTATTTCTTCCCCCTTGCATTAAAGTTTTGCACATGCACACACATACACTCACAAAAAAAAATCACCTTTTTGCCGATATTAAGCATAGAAAATTACAGCCAAAAGGGAGGATTTTTCAAAAAGGTATAAAACTGGAAGTTATAAAGGAACTTGCTACCACAAAAGCTAGATGAGTAGGACCTTTTGGAAAAAAAGAAAAGATCAAGTGTTATAATTTGGTTTCCCAGCTAACCAGTAGCAAGAGATATTTCTAGACATGCGAAATGTCATCTCTGAGGGGAAAAAAAAGGGACTAGCTATCAGATACAACAGAGATTGCCTCATATGAAAAAATATACAAATTCAAAACCAAATAAAGGAATCCAAGAAACCTTTGCAACTAACAATTAAAGGGAAAAGCCACCGCATATGCAGGTTACCACACAAGTCATCCAGTTATGTAATTGAGAGAAAAATAGCTAATACTGTCCACTTTCTTCATATTACTTTAAATTGGAATTTGAGATGTGTTAAAGTCACTTACAGGCATGTCAAAAGTTATGAATGTTTTTTAATGATTATATAACAATCTTTTTATATGGTAACTATTTTTGAGGTGTATCATTACTACAGCTTTCAACACCATCCCAGTTTCTTCAGAAAAAAAGTCAATATTAGCAGAAAAGCCATACTACAGCCAGCTTGCTATTTCTATTAATCTCTTTATAAACACACAGAGTTAGGTAATTATTTCAAAAGCAAAACTACAAGTAAAAACCTTAATAAAATTACCCTGCAAGAAAAAAAAAGGGGGGGGGGAGGAGTAATCAGACCAGTGCCTCAAAAGATGCTGTTTAAAGGCTAAAAAGAAAAAACACACTCTTATTGAAGTAGTAAAGTAACCTTTACAAAAAAGACATGTTCCATTTCCCAGCAGTGCTTCAGGGGCAGGGGGAGAGGGGATGGGATAGATAAACTATGTCATGAGTTGAGGGTAGAATTTTTTTCTCCTTAAAAGCATAACATTGGAGAAAGCAAGCTTAGGAATAGAGCAAACCAATTCAAAGGGATTCAGATGCATGGGGCTTACATGTTGATATAAACCCCATATAGACAACAGGGAGCAAAATAATCAGAAGCTATTATAAAGGAACATTAATAAGGAACGTAGACCAACACAAAGAGCATAAGAGAATGAAACTTGCATAACAACTGTCACCTACCCCCACCACACATGCCTGCCTACTGTGGTGTTTAGATGCTGCATATGATTATTAGAACTGGGAGCACTGGCTGTTGAGAGTCTGAAAGGATTGGGTGATACAACATTTTGGCAAGGATGGATCTTCTGCCTCTGAACCCACCTGCACCCTTTCTGCAATGCCCAGGTGAGCCTCCAATTGCTTTTACTGTCTGGAGCCATATGTTTGAGACTTATCTGCTTGCAATCAGTGCTACAGAAATTTCTGAAGTAAGAAAGCGTGCTCTGCTAATCCACTGCCTTGGAGCAGAAGGGCAGCGTATATTTTACACGTTTCTTCTTGCAGATGATAAATGATAAGATGATAAATATGAGACTGCACTCACTGCATTAAAGAACTTTTTTGTGCCAAAAGTGAATGTAGTAGCTAATCGCTACAGATTTTGCCAGTGTGAGCAGAAACCAGGGGAGATTATAATGCAGTATATTGCTTCTGTGAGGAGTTGGATTGTAACTTGTGACTTTGGGACTATGGCAGATGAGATGATTAGAGACCAGCTCATTGAGAAAACCACCATG